TCCTGAAAACTAAATTTAAAGCGAAAGCCTTGAATTCACATTCTTGTAAAATTATCGAGTCAGTGATGAGTTGACGTCATTATATCTATAAAGACAGTAGCGAGAACGACTCCAGTACAGATCCATCACTTGGACCGACCAGTATTCGGCGACAAATTGCGTCGGCCGCAATTCGTGTTATCATAGCGCATCAAGTTTTGCCACTCGCTGGCAGAACTGACGGACAGCAAAAGATATAGGTAGTCCATAAATCGGACTTACATACCGCTAATTATCGTAATTAAATAGTTCACTGAGTTGTGTTTTATTGCACAGAACAGGTAAATGGGTGGTACATGCATAACCTTCGTCAATTTAAACTTGCCAGTCCTGCACCTCAATTTGGTTATGCTAACGTTTATGGAACCTACGGTCTCGTTTTAGCATTTGCGGTTGACTGACTACGGTTGTAATAAGTAGGACATTCGGATTTTTGTGCATCGGTCAGTCACTCAGTTTCAGTGGCCGCTTACCGTTTCGGATCTCGTAGGCAGACGCGTCAGACAGATCGTCAACGCTCCCCATCTTTCACCAGCGTTTAAACTGGGCAGCAAATAAGCTTTAAACTGCGGCATTCGGCGGCAGCCTCGAGTATGCCGCTCTTAAAGAGCTGCCACTCGGTTTCGACATCAGTTGTTATCTCCGAGATCTGTTCAAACCGTCGTGCGATGTTGTTTGCAAATTTCGTGCCCACCGAAGATAATGTTTCCCATTTGACTCCCTTGTTACTTCTGCCAGATCATTGCATGACACTCCGTCTCTCATAGCGTAGCGTTCCATCAAAAAGGTCGTGATTAGTTAACAGCTCTACACCTTTCTTAGCACGAGCTTTCATTACAACGCATCGGAAGGCAGAAGTCAGACTACGGTTATCAAATAGATCATCGACTTCTGTGCACAAGCTTCCCTATGCCAGGTATACTGATGCACCCTTCGTTGCTCAAAGATGGTGTTCATAATAGACAGCCCGTTGTTTGCACAAGACCGCAACAACTTCATGCCGTTATTGTTGAGGTCGCTATGCTCTTTCTTACCAGTCACGTCTTTCCACTTTTCAGTGTCTATTCCAACATACGTATTTAGATCGCCCATTAGAGTGAGGGATTCTCTAGTCGGCAATGCGTACAGGGCATTCTGAACTTCCCCAATGAAGGGCTGATATTCTTCCTCAAAACTGGGCGCATGGACCTGTAACAAGGTCAGAGGTTTCGCATCTTGCAGATTCAACCGGATGATTGCCACTTTTCTGGTAACCAGTTTCCACTGAATGATTCTGTCAGCCCCGTTCGGTTCTGCCAGGACATCACCAGCTAGAGTGAGGATAATAGAGTTGACACCTAAATAGAATGGCTTCCACCTGCAAATGTTCAGAATTGCAGAGCCCAGC